CAAAGGCTCGGAGAGCTGGAGGAACGAACTGCCCTAATGATGACCAGTGCTGAATCCTTCTCAAAGCATGCTCATGAGGTAAAGGCAAAATAAGCATTAATGAACAAACGGTAAAGTGAAGACCAAATTTGTAATAACGGGTTAGGACCTAATGCTTACATTCATTTTAGTTAAGATGTCTTTAATAGTAGAGAATAATACTTGAAGTAGGTTAAACTTATTATATAAAAAAAAGCATTTCTCCTTAAATACACATTTAAAAAATGCATGAACAATTTTTTGTCTTGGGAATATTACAGATTTTTCAGTCACTAAAGTTCATCAAATCAGTTCAGAATTAAATCTTAATTTAATAAAAAAAAAGATCAATTTATCGCTCAAGTCTTAATTGTTCATAATACAGTAATGTAAATCACATGAATGTATTCTGCCATGCCCCATTACTGATTAAGATCAATGGTGGTGCCAGTTCTCTGCCATTCTTTCATCCATTTACTAGAAATACCTTCGTAATGTTCAGAAATGCCGAACACAACTGCTTTAAAGCAAACTTTTGAAATGGATATCTTATTGTTTGTTGTACATAAAGTCAATTAGTGATAACTTGTTTTTTCTTTACTATTAACATTACTTTACTTTTTATCTTATAGCTGATGCTCAAGTGCAAGGACAAGAAGTGGTACCAGTTCTAATGGCCAGACAGAAGGATGAGGCATCCCTTGGTCTGCTTGGGAAATGTATGCCACGACTTTCACTCTACAAATGAGAGCACTTAAAAGAGAGACTCGAGAGTGACTTAGTCTTCACGGCTCCTGGACTGGCTCTGTATTGGTACGGTCACCTTGCCATTGGACGTGGTCGCGCTAATTCCTTGTCCTGACATGTTGTGATAAGTAGAGAAACAGAATGGCGGTCATAATAGGGCGGATGGTAGAGGCGGAAATATCTGATGGGTCTGTTGGTTGTGTGTGTGGATGTGTGTGTGGATGTGTGTGTGTGTGTGTGTGTGTGTGTGTGTGTGTGTGTGTGTGTGTGTGTGTGTGTGTGTGTGTGTGTGTGTGTGTGTGTGTGTGTGTGTGTTGTTTTTCTGGACCTCACTGTGTAGATAATCACAAATAAAGAAATCAATAAGAAATGCATGAAACAAAGTGGATGACTATTAAAAATATTCAACTGCCATATCAAAAAGCAGCATGCTACTTTAACATGGATACAAACTAAAACCATTTTGTTTAATCTGTAAGCTTACAACAGAGACTATGAAAATATATTTATATTTTTTGAAATTTTGACAAAAAAAAAAAACTATATATGAAAAGGGAAATGTATAGCTGCATTGCTATTAAGCCAAAACTTGTTCCTTTGCCTTTTTTTTTTTTTTTATCATTCATGCATTATGGTTCATTTCAATTTATTCTTGGTCTCGGTAAATATTCAATCTCACCACAATATAGAGTCAGTACACATATTAAGCTTTCTCTACAATCACTTAGAATGACAACACTACTATGTTTTGACTAATGCTACTACATGGTTCTTACCAATTACTCTGGGCTGCACAGTGCAAACACAAATAAGTAGTTTAGACACTTTTCTCTCCACAGTCTAATCACTCTTATTTCATTTCCCTTATCGGCTGCTGCTACTTACAAAATCATTAAATGATGAGAAATATCTTCCTTCCCAGCAACAGCTGTAGGGAAACAGAGAGCAGATTGTTGTCAAATGTATGCAAATGCAGACAGAGTTTAGAGCGTGTTATAATCAGAGTGTTTACATCCTTAGAAGTTAACGAACCTATGTACTATTTATGTGCCATACAAAGAAGATGAGTCACTGCACTCGCTGCAAACTTACAAAGAGCTAATTTCTTTTAATCATCATTTGTTTTCCTTTTGATCCAAACGTATGACGCAGTACTTGGAGCTGGCAATAGAGGGCATTATTAAAGTCAAAGTTCGTCCTCTTAATTAAAAGTATTAAAAAGAGCTTTTTTTTTTCTTGTTGTTTCTGGTTAAGCCTTCGAGTCCCTGGCTGCCTGTCAGATTAGCAAATTAATTGAGCTAATGTGGGTTGTAAATGTGCGAGAGAGAAGGAGGAGTACCACAAATGTTTAACCAGACTACATCTCTACCAAAGCAATCAGAATGAGTGACACACTCCCATCCCTTCCCACCTCTGTCTTAAAGGACTTCTGTTTCATGTGTCGTCACTCTTTTGACCTGAAGGGTCCTCTATTCATGATCACAAATAATGTCGTTTTTCACTGTATGCATGTTGGGGAATACATAGGGGAGATGGAAGCACCTCCATTAAATTGCCAACAACTCCTCCGGTTTCAAGAGAAAAAAAAAAAACAGTGTTTTCAGTAATGTTCTGTTATGAGTCAGTGAAGAAACGATGTACATGTGCAACAATTTCAACTGAAAGCAAAATGTGTTCCTTTTTGTTCAATATTGTTCTTGATGACTATGATCTCCTCTTGTCACAGTCCTATATTGATGGTAACAGCCTCTTAACTGGTGGCTATTGTTTGTTAAAAAGCAAATGTTCCATGATACATGGTTGTGTATCATGTTGTGATTGTGTTTTTCATGTCAATGGGTAGCCAAGTGGCACTGGCAAACAGTATTTACTGAGGAGGATATTTTGTACTTGTGCATTTGTTTGTATTATGAATGGATCTCAAGAATATTGCTGATCTCTATCCCTCAAAATTCAGACGTGAACACACATTAGCGTGAACACATAGGAAGCAATTCGCCTTGATCATGCAGAAATCAATACCAATAACATATGGACCGCAACGTGTACACTCAAAACCTTAAAAATTACAAGTTGATGTTCTGCATTGATAGTTATTTCCGCCTACTTCCCGTCAGCCATTCCTGAGGCTAAAAGGTCTACTGGACCTTTTAACTTTCACCAAGATCACTTCCTAAATTCCTGAAGTGGTGACAGTTCAAGATTTAATTCAACAAGGTGTCTTAACATGTCAAAAAAAATCTATGCTGTACCGTCAATGAGGTTTGTGTTCAGTGCAGTTATTTAAGTGGCAGAGCAAGAAAATAAATGATTAAAAAAATATACCAAAAGAAAATGATAAAAAAAAAACTTGGACTTCTACTTACAGGGTGTTTTGTTATTACGTTTTTTTTGGTTTGTATGTTTTCGGTTTTTCTATTGGATGTACAGTTTAATCATGGGAGAAAGATGAAACAAAAAAAAATGACAAAAAAAGATGAAGACATACTTGGGATATTTTTCTCTGTATATGTTGTACCTGTTTCTGCTGGTACTGTATCTGGTATTCTGGCTCTGTCTCAATCACTGGAACTCTGTAGTTCTTCACACTGTAGTATCCTGAAAAAGCATTTTTCTGGTTTCTCTCTGATGGCAGCAAAGTTTGTCTTATATAAATGGATTCTCTCACTTTCTGTTCTTATATATATTATACCAGTGTAATAGAATTTACTTGAAAAAAGAACTGAAAATATGTTGATGCAAAACTGAAATAAACATTGATTGATGTACAACAGACGTGAGCATTATTTACTGGCTCCTATTCCGAGTTAGTTGCTGATGATTTTTGAAGTACGGGGTGGTGTTTCATGCTGGAATACAGAGGATAATTTGCAATCATTACATCAGCAGTTCTCCATTTCTTTAGTAAGAAGCACCGAGGGAATGAAGCCTCCGCTCACTGGGCAGGCTTGACATTGCTCTATGGTTTTATCTTACAAAACATTATGTTGCTATTTTTTTACACACATATTGTAGCAAATCAGACAAAAAAATATATATAAAAGTTTTCTTCTCTTTTCGTACATTTATGAATTATAACACAGTTCAAACTTTATGTGTCTTTATGAACTTCACTTTCTTTTAATATTTTCTTTTAATATTTTAGATATCACAAACTTTGCAAGCTCAAGTTGTTTGCTACTCAATTTTAAATGGTAGCAATAAAGTTAATTTGAAAAAGAAAAAAAATAAATAAACAATGCCATGGCTTCAACTTCCGCATTTCTGTGCAATCAAATTCAGATCAGATGAGGACTCCGACGGCGCATTTAACCAATCCAGCCGCGACTCAAGGAAGGGGGTGACCAATCATATCGCTTTATCGCACGGGCTTGTCCCGCCCCCTATTCATTCAGCAGACACTTTACTAAACTGCGGCTGTACTACCTTAACTACATAACGGAAACTTGCAGATGACTTACAGTGTGACAATATCACATTAGTAGGCCAGAAAGAAGCGATTTACAATGCCACATCTGGACAGTATTACTCCAAATAGGAACAGTGAAAAGTAACATTAAAACCTTGCTAACGTCACCGAACCTTTTTCTCATTCTTTTGACATTAGAGCATCTTTAATCCAACAATGAGATGTTTGGACAGTGAACCTCTGTAGGAACTCACGGCTAACATTAAAGGCGAGTCGACGCTGGGGAAATGAAGTCTCTTCGACTTGTTTTGTGGTTGCTGCTGAACTTTGTCTGGATCTGCTCAGACATGAAGTGTCGGGGGCTCAGGCAGCCTCAGTACCCAGTGCTGCAAAAACTATGGTATGGGGACCTGGATTGGAGGCAAACATAGTCCTACCAGCTCGATTTTTCTTTATACAAGCGGTGGACAGCTCGGGGAGAAAGTAAGTCTTCGCTTTTGTAACAAATACAAATACGTTTTTTTTTTTGTCGTGCAAGAATCTGTGCAATGCATTTGGAAAGTAATGCTGCTTTCAAGTGCTCCACGTAGCGTCCTACTTTTGGGTTCCCAAGATAGGTACGTTTGTGTGCAAAGGAAGTTATGCACTTTTTTTTTTTATATAAACAGAAAACATTTCGCAACTAAGTGGTTTTTCGTTATTGCCAGAATTTAAGACTTAAAAAAAAAAAAAAACTACAAAACGTGTTAAAAAGTTTCATTTAATCTCTTAATGTAAATAAGTAGATACATACCAGAGAGGTATTGTGGTAAGGTGTAGGCTACTACATTCTCTTTTGTGTTTGCTTTTTATGAAAAATAACTGAAATGAAATTTAAGATTTTGTTATGCCTGAAAGCCCGTATGTCTTTTTTTTATTTTTTTTTTTTTTATGGATGATTGGAAATGTAACACAATCCCTTTTCAAATGAAATTGTTACAAAATAAATTATTTCATATGTGATTCCTCATGATTGTTTTTTTTTTTTCGTTAAAAGTGAGAATTTACTTCTTTTTCTTTTATCCTTGGCTTTTTTTGAGGCAGGGATATTTATTGTTACCTAAATACCTGATGAATGTGTCACTGCAGAGAAAGGAAAATGTAGTGAATCTTCCCAACATGTTGCAGTTTTAAACTGATCAATGGAGCGTAAGCAGACGTGAAAGTTTGTGCCCCAGGGAGAAGAAGCAGACAACCTGAAATAACCCCTTACATCAAAAAGCTCCCATGGGCCCAATGAAGGCAACCTAGCCTATGTTACTCAGCGGGTGTCACTTTCACACATGCCCTGGGTCTCAACACAGATATCAGTTTCCCACTTTGTCCCCAAACAAGAAAAGTCATTGTTGTTGTCTGCTCCAGATACGAGGAGAAACATAATCAGATTATTCTGGGAGGTTACATTAAAATGTTAGCTTTGTTGCAGGTTAATATATTAGTTGAAAGGTAAAACAATGTCACACAGACAAGGCAACAAACATTTTTATAGCAACATTATAGAAAATGTTTGGTCAGCAGTGCATCTATTAAAATATGCTAAATGCTTCCTCTGAAATCTAATTTCACTAGAGCAAATGATTAATTTAATATTTAAGGCATTGTTTCGAACTACCAATCCTATGATGACTTCACTCAATGCAGTATTTGACTAATGTGCAATACACCTGCATTTTTCCAACTTTCTTCTCTCCTACATAGAAGCGTATTTGTGTTTGTTTTTTTTCTCACAGTTTCACAACTTCACCTGGTGAGAAGACCTTCGAGGTAAAGATGGTCTCTCCTGCAGAGCCGTTCGTCAGGATATGGATCCAGGTTCTGGATCGTAATGACGGCTCCTTCCTGGTTCGCTACAGAATGTATGCCACCTATACAGACCTGCAGATCAACATTCTGCTCAAGAACAAGCATGTTGCCAAGTCGCCATTTATTCTCAAAGGTAAATCACAATTCAATCTGTCAACAAACAACCACAGGTGTTTCTTTCTGTCTCCATGAACTGAAAAAGATGGCACATATAAAAAAAATAAAGATTTTAAGTGTGATTCCTGTGTGTTTTTCCTCCACAGGCCGAAGCTGCCACGAGGGCTGTGACTGTCCCCAGCCCAGTGGGTCTGTATGGGAGGAACATATGCACTGCTCTCAGTCCTTCCCACAGATAGACAGAGACCTGGCTCATTATGCAAGCGTCGACCCAGATCGCAATGCAGAGGAGATCCCGCAACGTTTTGGACAGAGACAGAGCCTCTGTCACTACACTGTCAAAGACAACAAGGTACCTCACACCAACATAACCAAGTTTACAAAAAAAAAACAAAGTTAGCAAGAAGAATTCCATCCCAATCACAAACGTGTAACACAAATTTAGACTCATCCCACAGCTAATGTAAAAACAAACTGTTTTTTTTATAGTTTTAGCTTAAACCATGAATGTGATGGAAGTCAAGAAACAGTAAGCTATCTCCTCATTTACTGATTAAAGGCTGACATTGATCAATACTGTAAGTAATCTTTAAAAAAAAAAATCCACGTTTTTTTGTCAAATTCCAGCACTACTCAAGGTTTATGTACTAATAAAGGGTAATGTTTCTTTAGTTTGAAGAGTACCGGTAATTAGGACCATGCAGTAATGCAAAGTGGGTCAGGACAGCCTGGAGCTATGCGACACACCTGTAAGAACAGTCTAGCAACCAGGTGTTCAAGGATATAAACCTCTCAAAAAAAAAAAACCACTCTAAACGTCATTCCAGGTTCCTGTAAAAGTGACATGACCCTATTGTTAAAGTTGTACTTTCCCAGGGCACATTTACACCTCATTGCAGTTTGCACATCATGTGTTGAGGCGAGTTGAGTGTCCATTTATTAATACGGTAAGTAAAGTGCAAAAAGAAATCACAAAATAGTTTATCTTCTAACTATGAACTGCTGATTAAACTCGCTTATGAGCTTCCCAAAGCGTTTGATTTTTATCAATTGGTGTTCATCTGTAAATGGAATTTGCAGTCAATCGTCAGATTTTGATTCCTGAACTTCTAAATACTGTTTTGACCCCAGATCTTTGCTCTCTTTAGGTCTATGTTCAAACGTTTGGAGAGCATGTAGGTTTCAGAATCTTTATGGATGCCATCCTCCTGTCGCTCACCCGGAAGGTAAATCACTGTGTAGAATCAATTATTAACATTAAGGAAACATCTCAAGACATTTCCCCTTTGTGTTTCCAAATGAGCTAACACAATGGCGACCCAGGGATGAAAGCCCCTGCAGTTCTAGAAAGACCCGACATTTACTCTTGATTTGGCTATTAAGGATTTTGCCACTTAAGAATGTATTTATTTCAATTATGGCAATAAAAGTGTTACCTTTAAAAATGTTGTGTGAATCATACCTGTCAAGGAGATTGTAATTAAATGGTTGAAAATGTCTTCAAAGCTCTGCACACTCGGTGTCAATTGGAAACTCAAGGGGTGTACTGTTTGTGACACTTCTTCCATCACCCAGAATTGTACATCTGTAAGAGAGTGATGACAAAGTTAACTATTTGTGAGGCAGGGAATCTGCTAGTTTTCCATATATCCTCTTAGATAAATGGAGTAAGCAGGGTTTCAAGACTGAACAAGCAATGAAAGGATTGATGACACTGATAGCTGATAGACTTAAAGAGGACATATTATCCCCCTTCTCCACCTTTTAAAACAGTCCCCTGTGGTCTTAATGAAACATCTGTGCTGTGCTTTGGTCAAATTATAACATGAATCAAGCGCCAGAGGAGGTTTGTGACCCCGTATAAACCAGCTCTCTCAGAACGCTCCGTTTTGGTGTGTGTGTCTCTTTAAATGTAATGTAATTAGTTTTCCCGGTAGACATCACTCCTTCGCTAGAGAGAAAGAAAATGGCTGACCTGCTCAAATGTTTTGCTTTAGGCTGAAGGTGGAGTCCATGGGTGGAGATATCAGGGGAGGGGAGAGTATTTTTTTTACTAGAATCCCACCGTGACATCACAAGGAAAACAAATTGGAAACGGATCATTTTTCTCTGTGTTGTAAGACTTATGCAGACCACAAACAAAGGACTGGATGGGTTTATTTCACATTTTGTGGGTCAGTAGACACTCAGGCTACCCAAATATATGTTCAAAAACACTGTAGAAGTGGATTATTCCCAATATGTCCCCTTTAACACAGACAGAACTAATTTATATAACTTATTTATATAACTTATTTATATAAGCAATTTACCTGTAATTTCAGACGGGACTGGGGTCATTACTTACCTGTAATTTCAGATATCACCATAGATGTTGACATCAAGGATGAAACAGATTGTTACTTCATGATACTAGTAATAAGATGTCTACCTCACCAGAGAAACAAATGGACTGAATATGAATAAGTAAGCAACAGTTGGCCGAAGTGCTATGTTCTACTTTTAAATGGATAGCGGCTGCATGTTAATACTTGAATTCCCTGTCCACTGCTGTCCAGGTACAGCTCCCTGACGTGGAGTTTTTTGTAAACCTTGGTGACTGGCCGCTCGAGAAGAGGAAATCCACTGAGAAAATTCATCCTATCTTTTCCTGGTGTGGCTCCAACAGTACCAGAGATATTGTCATGCCCACCTATGACCTGACTGAGTCGGTCCTTGAGACCATGGGAAGGTAAGGCCGTGAATCTGTAGCATAAACATGTTGAGAGATTTTGGATTAAGGGAAATATTTTCTGTACGTGTGCTGCATGCTAAATGTTTCTAAGTTTGCATAGGCATAAGCAATATTATGTATTCTGTACAAGAGCTGACACCACTAATACCTGGTCAACCTCTGTGATTTTTTTTGAGTATCGACTTCTCACTGCCTGGAGGCTAGGTGACTCAGAACAGCTTGTATGTTGTTTATTAGCAGAGGATGGGAGCTGTAGTCAGCTTGGAGACATGCAGTCCCGTTTTAGCAGGATTTGATATCAGTGCACCGTGACACTGTCACTGTGCAGACCGAATAATGGGGACTGAAATAAACCTGGGTTGGGATGCTCATTACTTGCTCAGTTTCTTCATGCATTTTCATGCGGTGAAAGATAGACAAAGAAGTTTTGCAAGCAAATATCTTCTTTTGCTTCTAGATCGAGCAAGAACACGTTCCTCGTTATCACGTATCATAAACCTGTGTACCCAGTCTTATCTTTAGATGCTGCTTTACAGAAATCTGTTTTATTCACTGCAACAATAACAAGTAAAGAGACATCAAAGGGTTATATGGTTCAAATGTTACGGGCCAATAGCGAAGCTAATTGTCTTAAGTACGTAAGTTCCTGGATAAATGCATGACCCTAAGGTTTTAGTTACTGTATAAATGTCCAAATACATCTTTGTGTAGCCATGACTTTGACAGAATAATTTGAACCTTCATTTAGATAAATCCTTCTCTTGTGAAATTTGACAACCCATATTCCATCTAATCAACAGAGTAAGTCTTGACATGATGTCAGTGCAGTCCAATACTGGGCCACTGTGGCCAGAGAAGAATGCCACAGCTTTCTGGAGAGGCCGGGACAGTCGTCAGGAGCGCTTGGAGCTGGTCAAGCTTTCCAGGGCTCATCCCGACATGATAGATGCCGCCTTTACCAACTTCTTCTTCTTCAAACATGATGAGAGCCTCTACGGGCCGCTGGTCAAACATGTTTCTTTCTTTGACTTTTTTAAGGTGAGCATGCTTCAGCATGGCTGCTTTGTTATTGGATGTATTCATAAATAGTCTGTGTATTGGATACTTGTAGACTCTATTAGCATTAGCATGTGATTGTAAGTAGATTCCAGCACGACCAGAACAAGGGAGACTTAAGATTGAACTCTTTTGCTGTAGCTTGCTCAAAGCAAAGTTTTTCTTTTTTAAACGTAATTCAGTTAAGAGGTACAGACAAGTTGTGTGTACCCAACTTCTTCAGAACAAACGAGTAGGTAGCCTACAAGTGAACTAGTGGCTCGAGAAAGGTAATTTCCTCAGGATTTGATTGGCTCCCCTAGTGCTTATGTTTGTTAAAAAAAAACGCCCCTGCAGCTATGTCTGCCGAGCGTCTGCAATGGTAATTCTTTTCTAACCACTGACTCATAACCTGGCTATTTTTAATCCCATCACCAGTACAAGTACCAAATAAACATTGACGGCACAGTGGCAGCGTATCGACTGCCGTACCTGTTGGCTGGAGACAGCGTGGTCTTAAAGCAAGACTCCAGTTATTACGAGCACTTCTACAATGAACTCCGACCGTGGGAGCACTACATCCCAATCAAAGCAGACCTCAGCGACCTGCTGGAAAAGATCGAGTGGGCGCGTGACCACGATGAAGAGGTGATAATGATCGATGGCTGGAAAAAGTTCTTTGGTGTAATTCTGTTCAGTAGATTGTTATTGCTCAGTTAGATGTCGTACATTTTCTTGCTGTTGTTGCTGTGAGAAGAAGGAGGGCAAATGGTTGCAATGATTCCTGATTGACCCGGTAAAAATTTTCCTTTCTTTCAGGTGAAGAAAATTGCTCTAGCTGGTCAGCAGTTTGCCCGCCATCATCTAATGGGGGACAGTATTTTTTGTTACTACTACAAACTTTTGAAGGTAATATTTGTACAGTTTTTAAATCTTATAAATCACTTTATCAAAAAGATCAATGTTCTACCCAGTCAGTACTTACCCTGCTTCCTCCTGGGGATGGGGCTGGAGTCAGAATCATATACATTTGCACTATCTGGCCTTACCTTTGTCTCTGAGTCAAATGGTTGCACATAATAATGAAATGTGTCTGTTCTGATTTAATCATTGGATTCAGGATGTCTTTCCCCTGCCTGTGTTGGCTGCTTTTTTAAGTTCAGTATTCTTCTTTTAGGAGTATGCCAAACTTCAGGTCACAACTCCAAAGGTTCGAGAAGGCATGGAGCTAGTAGAGCAGCCCACTGATGACCTGTTCCCATGTTCCTGCCACAGGATGAGGGTAAGAGGCACGGTTAAGTTCCTGTTCCTGTTGTTTCAAATCTCCTCAGCTTACGGGCAAACACCACCAACATGGTGCTAACACGATTAGCTTCTATCCTAACTGATACCGAAAGCTGTTTGCTTTTCTGTCCCTAAATCACAAGCTGGCATTGTTTGCAAAGACACTTAACACGACTCCAATGAATTGCTGCCTCGCCTAGCGGCTATCCTGGTACAGTATAAGCTTTTTGAACCTAGGTCTGATTACATGTTCAAGTGACAAAACCATGTCCATCAAAAGAGTTCAGCATGTATCCAGTGAAGCTTATAAAGACATACAGGTGAAGAAATAGAACTCAAAAGGAAAAATTGACACTATAAATCTAGAATCTCATATGGATACAGCGATAACAAGAATATATTTGCAGATCTGCACCTGCCATTTTTTTGTGATCATTTTTCTCTAAGGATTAGTTTGACATATTTCTAATTCAGAACCACAGTACAGTTGTCAACTAAAAACCCAGAACTGCACAATGTGCATTGACCTTATACATATTGAAGGAACAATATCCCACAGTGGGCCTCCACTCGCACCAAAGTAACTAGATTCAAGTTTGTTCCTTTCTGAGTCTTTTCACTACTACAGTTTGAGCTCTTAAAGTAGGATTTGTTATTTTCAATTATCCTCATCGGCATTTATAAAGACAAATATTTTCGTTATCGGCCCTGAATCGATATGTCTGATAATCTAAAGATAATTAAAAAGGAGATTGTATGATTGAAAACATAGTGCAAAAGGACTTCATGAAGGGCAAATCTGAAGAACATACCAGCATAGCCCTCATCTGTGTGAAGTACATTACAGTAAAGCTTTTAATTAGCATGAATTATGATTTATTTTAAAAAGAAAATGTTAAAATGATTTTTATGTTTGAACTTTTTTTTACTGTTCAGCCTCGAGGCAGTCCATTTTACTCTGCAGAGTGTGGCTCCCTCTGGTGTATGAATGGTGTAATTACAATTGCCGTAATGAATTCAAGTTGAAGTATACATTCACATATTATGAGGCTTGTTAATTCCACACGTGCACTCAGTTAGTCTAGCTGGTTGGGTTTCTGATGACAGTGAGGGGCAGATGATACTATGCTGGTACATGATGTCGTCTGGTAGTGTTTAAGAGCGCCACAGAGTTGAATTCCTTAGATTAGTTTTTATCTATGTAATACTAAAATTGAATTGGAGTGTGCAATGGTTGCAGCTTGTCTATGCCTGTTAATATTACATATTGTTTATTATTTCAATTTATGATTTCAATTTTTTTCCCCGCTATACTGAAACAAATTAATTTGTTTTACAACTTTGTAGGGACACATTGACCTTCATCTGATACTTACATGAGCCTTCTGTTTTGTTTTGTTTTCCAGTCAAAGGATGAACTTTGATAACCCAACATCCAGCTACAGAGAAATCCTTCACATCTCATATACTGCCAAAGAATTTTAAAAGTGTAAAAGAAAAAGTATGAATGTCATCAATATTGCATTTTCTTTTCTTTGAAAGAAATAAATATTTTTTATATGTGTAAAGTGATTTTTTTGGACATTGTACAAGTACCAAAAACAAACCACATGCTTTCAGCAGTTTGATACAGAATGATTGCGTCCTGAGAAAACAAATGAGGTAATTCAAGCTTAGATCTCTATTTTAATCCTGTTTTGTCAACATTTCATCTGCTAGAGTGGCCCTGAAAGAGACAAACAGACCCTGCCAGCTCTCAGTCTGCTGCTGAGAAGCGTCCAGAATTGTTTTTCCTACAGTGATCCCCAGCAATGCCATTGTTCACTTGTTTTCTTTTGTTGTTGTATATTGGGGTAATCTTTTTGTGAAGCTGTGAAGTTGCTTCAAGGAGCTTGAAGTTCCTCCTCTGGGATTTCAGTTGCCCACCCCCTGCCATAGACTGTTAATAATAAGGTGAACACCTTGTTCTTGTAGGACTTAACAGCTACTTGCATGTTCCTTCGTTGCTATGGAAACTGAACCCAGGGCTGTCTTGTGAGTCCATGTGAAACCGAATACCTGATCCTTGAAGATCAGTTTTTATCTCAGAGCTTGTTAAAGTGAAAAAATTGTGTGACTTTTTTTTCCACTTTCTTTGTTGCGCACATGTTGATAAAACGATGTGACAAAGAGAATTATAGAAAAGATGACAGAACTGAAACTGTAATTATATTGTCTGTGTGACTTAAAGCCTCATAACTTGATTTTTAACACGACTGCTTTTGATGTAGTTTGAGTAAACACAAACTACGTTTTCCTTTTACTCAAACGAGTGGCTTGTCTCTAGAAAGTAATCGTAGATGTTAAAATGTTGTTTAGTTTAAACCTTTTACTCTTTCTCAACCAAACAAGTCTCGTAGTGTTACCTAAATCTAAACGACTAGTCTTGTGGTTTGAGCTAAATAATATTAGGCTTTGTTTTACTGAGGACGCACAACATCTTGGATAACTTTCTGAGATATCTGAAAGGAAGCAAGGAAGACTTAAACAAAAAAAAAAGACATGGCTGAATTCAGAACGATTTTCTTTGTTTTTTTTGTTTGGTTTGCTTTGGACATCTTTGCTGCTAACTCCAACACGGTAGGTGGCGGTAAAACCACAGCCACGTTTGCCAAACGCGTTTACGCAGACAACAGAAGAAAGGACTTCCGGTTTTGTATTATTATTATTATTTTACAGTAAACAGGACGCATGGCTGCTGAACTCTGGAACAGGGTTAACATCCCCTTGCCTTGTGCTATTTCTTATGTCCGTATACATTTCCGCTCAAACATAGGTACGTTTTTACGCATGGCTTTTCAATAAGCTTCATGTTGACTTCGTGTGTGATGTTTGTGTCAAAGCTGAGCACGTGTGGCCCACGTGTCAAAAGTGTCTGAACTCACCTGAAGAGTTGTCGATTTTGTTCACCGCTGTTGTTTTGTTGCTTCAGATACAAACATCAAGACCTTGTTGGTGGAAAACGAGAAAGTGCTCAGGCTGATCGGGAGTGAGATTCTCCAGACAGAGATACGAGTTCTCTATGAGCTTCTGTATGTCCTCAATAACAGTTTTAGAGGCAACAAGACGTTCAAAGGTTTACAACAGGTGCGTAACTGTGTAGGAGCTACATGAAGCATGTGTACAAGTCATTGATGCATGTGTGTAAAAAAAAAAAAAAGAAGCATGTAACAGCCTTTGGCTCGTCTGTCTCAGGTGGAACAATGCATCAACAGGCTGAAGAAGATGAATCTCGATGTTGCTCTGAAGGAGCTGAGAGAGCTGTGTCCCAATAAAATTCAAAGGTGAGTGGAAAGGTTGGCATGTGATGTGTTTTTTTTGTTTTTTTGTTGGCACATATAAGCCAACAACAAATATGGGAAATGTAAATTTGACTATGATTAAATGCATTAAGGTAAACCAAACAAAACACTGTTCGCTTGCTCACGCTTTACATTGAGAGCACAGAACAATAACATATAGAATGAACTCGGGCTCAGATATGTTCCACATTATGTCATTTCATATTTAAGGATTTTGTATCTTCTCAGATGAACACACACTTAAGACAAAAACTCATTTAAAACAACAAAGATAAAAGTAAGTAGTGTACATGGTGCAAGGGGAAGTATAGTTAGATAAAAGCACTTCAAAAAGTACTTAACATTGGATACAACTTGTGAGGATCAATGAGCCAAATCATCTGGATGGCTATCATGTTTGGGGCTCAGTGGTAGAGAGGGTTGTCTCTGTTTGGGGGGGGGGTTCCATCCTCCTGCTCCTGCAACCACATGCCGAACTGTCATTGGGCAAGACACTGAACCCTGAATTGCTGCCACTGCGTCAGCTGTGTATGAATGTGTTCAAATTGAATGAGTTCATGCAGGTAGCCACCTCTGCTATCATTTTGTGAATTAGTTGGGTGTGATTTGTGGTGTAAAAAAGCGCTTTGAGTAGTCGGAAGACTAGAAAAGTGCCATGCAAGCCCATTTAACATTTCTCTACTTCAGATGTACTGTAGTTGTCTTCATATTTAATATAAAGAAATGTGTTTTATTTTTTTTTGAGTTTAGAAAACTTGGCATCAAAGTTGGTGAGTGTGATGTTCCCAGTCAACCCATGCTGGAGTGGCTCTGCCTCAAAGTACTGGGAGCTGCCAAGCTGATGAGCTGCACATTGAGACGCTGCAGCAGAGCTTTCTCGTATCCTTTTTTTTTTTTTTTTTTCCAGAAACATGATCTGCGACACAAATTTCACATATTTACTGCTCGTTCTGTTTTATTATATTTTACTCTGACTATATAGATGTCCATGTGTTGTCCTTAAGAAATGTATCCTTCAGACTCTCAAAACAGCAGATGAAATGGGAAGAGTTTGTGCTCTTGAATGTTGTGATAAGCAGCATGCTGAGTCGTCTCTGGTGAGTGCTCTTACCAAATGCAATGTTTTTGTTTTTTTTAAAGCAAAGAAATGCAAACATATGCAGGTTTAAAATGACTCAACAGTAAAAGGAAATGTATGCGTATACCAATATGGAGAAAAATGTGCATTTGAAATAGTTGAATTGGTGTTTCTCTAGAAATGTATTCAGCAGGCTAAGTCTCCCTTCCTACCTGAACAGGGTGATGTTCCGGGGGGTTCTGTGTTGCCTGTCCGCTCTGTATCAGCAGCTCCTGGGGCTCCTGAAAGAAGTCGCCAAAGCCCAGCCCATGCCCTTCCTCACAGACTTCACACTGCCTATAGATGTGGCTCTTTTCCTGGGTTCCTCGGATGCTGCTTTACTTGCTGAACGATCAAAACATGATGCCAAAGTCAAAGAGCAGAAGAAGAAAATGTCTTCTGTTTCATTCAAGAACCAGGGGCAGACAAAGAAGGTTAAAGAAGACTTGGGAGAGGCTGTTGAAAGAGGTATGGATCTGTTTAATTGTTGTAGATTTTGTACAAAGCCTTCTTTTTCTTATTTTTTGTAATAACTCTACATGGATTTTCTAGATTTTATAAATGAAAACTCTTGTTTAGGTTGAGTCCATCATTAAGGGGATTTTCCCAAACACTAATAATTTCACAATAAATTCTTCACCCAAGTCTTGAAGGTCACATATTATACTCCCTTTCAACCAGTTTCAATACATTTCTGAGCTCTCCAAAAATATTTTTGAAGTTTCTTGCTAAATCTCCACTCTGATCCTGTATTTGATCATGTCTGTAAAGCCCTCTATTTCAGCCCTGCTCAGAACAGGCTGTTCCTGTGTCTGTAGATGTAAGTAAGCTGCACGCCCCTCTGGGTGGCTTGAGCTTTCCTATTGTTAACAGTGAGAAGGCAGACTCAGAGGGCAGAACAAACACCTAGTTGTGGGCTTGTCACCCGCCTGTCGATTGGGTTACTGCTCTTTGCTCTGTTTGAGCACACATTTTTTTGAAAAGTGGAGCGGGCAAAAGATGGAGAGGATGGACTTTTCTCATAATTGGGGGCTTGGAAGACAGGCTAGGGACACATTTTAGACTTAGAAAACCATGGTAAACTGTATTTCGCATAATGTTTGACCTTTTTAAAGGAAGAATGAGCAACATTTTACGTGTAAATTCAGCAGAAATCAAGAATATCCTGTGTAAATGTCTCTCTGAGTCATGGCTGTCCACAATGAGGGACAAGCAAGAGTCCCGCCAGCTGAAGGCCACTGTTGAAATCCTTTTTATTAATCCTTAAATTCGGTTTTACACTCAAGTTATTTATTGGGACATGCTTCTCACACACACATAGGCCCGAATCACACACAAGCACAAACAGGAGATGTGGACATGCATTGGTGGAGAGAGCAGCCAGCTGACTGCTGTACCTTTCCAGCTACCAGACCAACTTCCATATTATGATCCGCACCGGGACTTGAATCAGCGACCCTCAGGTTCCCAACTCAAGTCCCTACAGACTGAACTAGTGTCGCCTCCTGGCTACTGGCCGTGTTTACATCGACTTTACATGGACAGGACGGCTTTGCGTATCAAAGCTGTTTTTAGTCAAGCACTAGAAAAAAGAAAAGAAGCTATGAATTAACCCAAGTGTTCTAACATTAGCCTGCTAAGGCAATTGCCTGTGGCCTGCTGCTAACCCTTAATGGTGCTTAAATATGGTGCTTTCTAATTCATGACTTCTATATGCAAATGCGAGTGGAGAGGGGTTGGAGGTGTGTTGCTGGAGGAGAGCGGTGGATTCAGAATAGCGGAGGTGTGGCCAAATAGCAGTTTGTTTTGGTTTAATGCTGGTGATCAAGGGCCACATCTACTGGATCAATAGGATGCACATTCTTCCTTTAAATGATTTGATAATACTTGTGAAAAAGAGTTCTGCATTTTCTCTCTCAATCATTTCACACAATGTACTGCAATATTATTTTCTGTTTCAGGTTCAGTCCTTGACACTGACATGAAGTCTTTTCTCAAGATTTATAGTAACTACACAAAGGTATGTGAGAACCAAGTCAAATACTTATTATTGACAGATTATCTATTATGTTGCTGTCAAATCATTCTGTTATGATCCAATCATATTGTTTCTGCAGGGCGAGTCCTCTGGACAAAAAACACAAAAAGCTGAAAGGAAACAGAAGTTGAAGAAACAGGTGAGAGAGGCGACCACCTTCACAGACATGGAGAAGTGTCTAGAAGAAATGATCCAGTGGTGCGAATCCCAAAGGATGAAAAAGGAAAAATGCCTCTTAAGCTTCCTGAATTTAAAATGCCACAGGATGAAATGCCTGGAGGCAGCAGGCTACAAGTAAGCGCAACACTACAGTTGATATACTCAGTGGCTACTTTGTTAGAAGCAGCTGTGCATTCAATACAATAACACTGAATTCATCAACAACTTTTCACAAGTGAGCTTTGTGTTGACTTTGCCAAAAACATAATTGAAGATCACATATTATTCTCCTTTTCAACAAGTGTCAAGTCACAGAGCTTCCAGAAACATACCCGTCAAGTGTCTCCACTCTGTTGGTGTTTATTTAAGTATGTCTATAAACCCCTCTATTTCAGCCCTGCTCAGAACAGGCTGTTTCTGTGTCTGTAGCTTTAAATGCAAAGCTGTGTGTGACCACGCCCCTCTAGATGGGCTTTGGCTTTCTTGCACCATGCCAAATTGTTTACGCGAGAAAGCAGACTCAGATGGCAGAACAACACCTAGCTGTGGGAGTGTCACCCACCTGGGGGATGGGCTACTGCCCTTTGTGATGTCATTCAGGGAAAAATCACAAAACTGCCTTTTAAGCACACATTTTCTGATAAGTAGAACAGGCGAGGATGGACTTTTTTCATGATTGGGAGGTTTGTTGACAGGTTAGGAACACATATTAGTGTTAGAAAACCAAGGTAAAGTGTATTTTTCACAATATGTGATCTTTAAAGGTCAGATTTTTGTCATAAATTTAAAAAAAATGGAAACTGTTTACATCCCAGCAGCTTGCTGTGTTTGATCCCTCCATCTTTGTCTACTTGTTTCCTTTGATGGTGAGATGGA